AGTTGTCGTGAGAAAAATTGGCAGGGACCCCGTAGGAATCACGTTGTGAAGTTCCGGTCGAGATGAACGTGGTGTGGAAGGTGCTCATGCATTACGCTCTTGTCTCCAAAGCGTCGAAGTCTGACCGCATGTGGGTTCATCATGTTGCTGCACCGTCGACCAGGCGGAAATTTTGTACGGTACATCCAGCACACATGTTAATGGGTATTTCAACATGTCCCAGGGCGCCCGCCCGCGCTTTCCTGAGAAGATGAAAGGAATTGAATCGATATTCGGAACGCATTTTGAAACGATCAGTCACATTTTGCTAACATTAAGAGGCGGAGACATGGCACTGGACGGGGAGGTGGCAGGCACCGGGTTGTGTTCACACAACCCCACTGTGTGTGAATGAATTTGGGCATCGCACTCAACGGAGCGATTGCACCGGGGGTGCCTTGGAAAAAACAAACGAAATGCTTCGATTGCATTCCCGCACCGAGGTCGGAGAGATGACACCGGTCGGAGAGCTCGACCGGAGTGCGAAAAAAAAAAAGCACGAAATTAATTATTTGAACAACCGATCGCACGCAGTGTCATCTCTCCCCCTCCTACGGTGACCTGTGACAACGCATGATTTTCGAAGTCCTGACGGCTGGAGCAGGCGATACGCATGTTAGCGCAGCATTTTTTGCGAAGCTTCCGACAATGCCGTGCCGCAGATCCGCGACCGATGGCGCGATCTGTAAAGGAGGGTTCCGCAATACGATATTCGAAAGAACCGCAAAAAACCTCGACCCATCCCGCGGCAGAAGGACCACCCGCGACATGACCGAAGGCCTTAAGAAATGAAACCGTTGTTCTCAGTTGAACGTGATCAACTCTAAGTCAAACACGAGCGCCGAGTGCGGGGGAACAAGGCCCGGGAATCCTCGTGCCCCGTACGCTAAGGCCGCGGGAATTGTAACCTGGGAGTGGCGGGCGGGTCAAGCGAGGGGCGAAAAAAACGGACAAAACAAGTGTTACGATATCCACCTGAGGTACAGAAAAGCCCAGGCTGTGGAGGAGAAAGATTTCCGTCGCACCCGGCGCTGACGCATTGAGGTCGCGGAGGGCTTCGTGGGTAATAGAAAGGATTAGCTTTTCCAGACCAACAGTCAAAGCGAAAAGCTTCAAAGTCAATCGATATACACGTACGCGTGGGAAAACCTTCCAAGTTGAAATCTCGCCCACCCATAACATTATTATTGAATCACACTTCCCAAAGATTTGTCCCTCCCCATATTGCCGCCCCCCCGGTGTTTGCCATCGGGGTTGGGTTTTCGTCGCTTGGCAACGACGTTGTAAACAAGTCGCCCCCCCCCGGTGTTTGCCATCGGGGTTGGGTTTTCGTCGCTTGGCAACGACGTTGTAAACAAGTCGCCCCCCCCCGGTGTTTGCCATCGGGATTGGGTTTTCGTCGCTTGGCAA